GAAGTTTTAGAAATACTGTAATCTGATTTGAGTAAATTGTACATATTGCTTATAAGTCTGACTTGAGTCATTAGTAGCTCATAGTTTTATATTCTTAATACAGATCAGTAGTCTTTTCAGTCATTGGCAACTCAAAGTTTTAATACATACAGCATGAAGGTAGTATTTACAAATATTCATTTATATTTTTGTTATATTTTTACATTATTGTATAACAAAGTATACATTTCATTCATAAAAGGCAATTTCATTTCCATCCTAAGAATTATCCCCACCCACGGGTCGGTCCTCAGTGTTGAAGACATTAGGGGATTGTTGTGTACCACATGTTGTCCCTCCACCCTGGTGAAGCTGCGTAATTCACCTAGTACAATAGTGGTTCTAATGGGAAGTAAGGGAAAATGACCCGAGTGATACACCTAAGGTTCTATAATGTACAACTTAAGTTAAAAAACAAATAATGGGTGTTTGCTATATGATACTAAGAAAAATATTATATGGCACACTGTACTGTAGAGGTACGTACTGTATTATAGAGAGAGAAAAACTCATGGAGCAGCTCCCTGCCCGTCTGGCCTCACCACTCCTGTTAACAACAAGAATAATCATCCAATGTCAGTTTGCCCTTCAAAGTTTGCTTATGCTAATGTGTGTATGTATGTACGGAGGGTACGCCAAGTCTAGGGACTTGGCGCACCCTCATTTGCTGTATGCTAGCCAAGCACGAGCGTTCAAACTTTCAGTGGGCACGAAGGTGCCCGCGGTCACTTGTGTATATATAATATGTATATATATATATATATATATATATATATATATATATATATATATATATATATATATATATATATATATATATATATATATATATATATATATATATATATATATATATATATATATATATATATATATATATATATATATATATATATATATATATATATATATATATATATATATATATATATATATATATATATATATATATATATTCAACCCTCACTTTACGCGGTCCCACATTCCACGTTTCCACGTTTACGCGGTGCCCTGCCAGAACCCAGGATGCTCACATTCCGCGGTGCGTGTACCCCTTTACGCGGGTGAAGTATAATTTTTTTATTTAGCTCATAAAATTCATACAAATTATCCGGCCAGAATATAATTTACATTGCTGGAATTCTTACAATTTGATGATCATTTTGAATATAAACATCATAGATTTTGCATTAGACATACAAATTTTAGATATACTGTAATGTTTACTCTGAGTAAATATGTTATCTTTTGTGCAAAATATATGACATTTATATTCAAAATATTCCTGGTCTTACAAGGAATCCAGCAATGTCAATTATATTATCCTAACTTTAGTTTGAGGTACTATTTATTACTATACCTTAAAATCTAGTTGTTATCCTCCCAAAATTTCTCAGAGAGGGAAGAGCCAGCGAGTGTAGTGTGAGAAGAGGGGGAGGGAGTCGAGTCCATTATTTGAATGGACATTAACTTGGCGACTGTATTTCTCTATTTCTCTTAAGTATTAATTGTGTGCATGTACCATCATAAAATTAAGATGTTATTTTTACTAGAACATAGGTATTGTGCCGGAAAAAGTGGAGTTTGGGGGTCAGCCGGTCTCTATTTCATTTAATCCCATATGTTATGTTATTCACTTTACGCGTTTCTCACTTTCCGCGGTACCCTGTGGGCTGAATTAACCGCGTAAAGTGAGGGTTGACTGTATATATATACAATACGTGTAGGTAGTCCCTTATGAACATAACTGGTTCCGGAGGTGTGTTCTTAAGTCTAAATTCAACTCTGTCACTTGCAAACAATGTGTTAATAAGAAAAATGCCTTATGTACAGCACACCCACAGCTCAGTACAGTACGTCATCGTATGATGTTGATTTTGTTCCTTCAGCCACATGCACAAAATTTTTTTCATCAAATGATGCATACCCACAGAATGTTTTATATGCTCCATAATTTTTCTTTTTCCTTTAAAATCGTACCAACAGTTGAATGATTCAGTTCAAAAGCACCAGCCACATTTGTCATCTTATCACCTCTTAGTTCTATGGAGCGTCGGTAGAACTAATGACTCTTGCAGGTTCGCATCGAACGGAAATTTTGACATACGGGCAGGTATGCTCGTATGTATGAAAGTTCGTAAGTTGAAAGTTTGTAAGTAGAGGTGATTCTGTACAGTACGTACTGTACAGGCATTCCCTGATACTGTATACTGTATATGAAAGGGTTCCGTTCCTGAAAATATTTCGTAAATTTTTTTTATTTTGAATCGAAGCACATTTTTCCATTGACTCCGTTTTTAAAAGCTTAGGTAAGCTCCTATGAATAAAGAATCAAAACGCCACAAAACATGTTTTTAATTAAAAATTTTGGTGTACGCAATGATTATAAGTCGATAATAAACATAATAAGTAAAATACATGCTGTACATTACAGTACAGTAACGAGTTTATGCCTGTATGGATGAGATTTGAACAAATTGAACTGTATGAAATGCTAGGCCAACATCTATAATTATTTTAATACTGTAGTGATATGTTGATTCCCATTACACTATACTGTATGTGTACAGTTACTGTAATTGATGTATGCTCCACACACACACACACACACACACATACAAAAAATAATAGCCCACTCATAAACCTTTGGGAGTTTTGCATCATCCGAAATTCTCTCTTACAACCCTACACCTTTTTTTGTACATACAGTTATTGGCAAAATAAATTTTAAAATACAGAATAATTTTATTTTGAATTAATATTTCATATATTACATGAGTATACTAATAAGGAAAAATTGGACAGTCACACAACTGGCCGAGTGACTGTGTGATGTGGTGGAGACGAGTTAATAGTACAGTATTGCACTTGTCTTCAGTTAGTTTGAGGAAAATGTTATGTAATGATTGTAGGAGAATAATGACAATGGAACCTTGTTGTAGATTTAATTACATTGCAATTGTTAGAGAATAATGTTCGTAAATCAAGGTTAATGGATTACGGATGTGACGTCATGGCACACATAACGGCTGAGAATCAGCTGGGTGACTGCATGGCTGAACTTTGTTGTGTTGCCCAGAGGATGGTTCGAATGTGGAAGGGGCTATTTTTTTTTACATAAAATATGTGCTGCAGTACTTTATTGTATTTTATGATATACTATTTATCAAATTTATTGTTTATCATAAAATTATTATTTTTTAAATTTTATACATTTTTAACTTGAAATCTGTTCAAATTAATTTCGCCTTGTGGTCATTAAATCGTTTAACTCAAACTACTTCGTTTATATAGAAGTTTGGTGTTATTAAATCATTTGTTTAACTCCAAACTGTTTATAGCAAACTTGTTGACTGTATTATTATTACTTATTATTATTATTATTATTATTATTATTATTATTATTATTATTATTATTATTATTATTATTATTATTATTAGGGAGTACAGTACTCAGTGTTTACCTCCCTGCCGTTTGAACCTGTTTTTCTCCCTCTGTGTTTGCTGTTATCCCTTGTTTCGCAATAATTTCAATTAATTTAGTTTTTTCAGGAATGTAACCTCATTGCAAAACAAGGGATGCCTGTGCAAAGTTAGTGTGTCCTGCTGTACGAGGTGCGATCCAAAAGTTTCCGGACTGGTTTCATAAAATCTGTATTTTTCAATATATTACAGTGAAACTTTAGTCACCCTCAAAATATTCTCCAGAGGCCTCAATGCAGCGCTGAATCCGCTCCTCCCACTTCTGGAAGCAGATTTGGAAGTCCTCGTTGGTGAGGCTGGAGAGCACCATCTGTGATTTTTCCTGGATCTCCATTCTGTCCATGAACTTCTTCCCCTTAAGGTTCTGCTTGAACTTCAGAAACAGTCAGAACTCACAGGGGGCCTGATCCGGAGAGTACGGAGGGTGGGGGACCACCGGGATGCTGTGCTTCACCAGAATATCATTCACAGAGAGGAGAGAGTGTGCACAGCTATATTGTCCTGGAGAAGCAGCCAATTGCCGGTCGTCAGTCGGAATCCGGTTAACATTTCCATATGAGAGGTTCAACCGCTCGGCAATCTCGTGGATGGTCACCCTATGATCTTCATGGACAAGCTGGTCTTTTTTCTGGACATTTTCATCATTTCTCTTAGTGGAAGGCCTTATGAAGCCAGTCCGGATCACGCCTCGTATAATGAAAAAAAAAAAAAATGCTGCGTTTATGGTACAGTAAATGAGATGAAACTTTATGAGGAAAAGGAAAAGAGGGATCATTGTATCATTTGGTTTTAAATTTGCACAAGTTTGTTTGGAATGGTTTTATATGTGTACAAGAAAGTGAAAAAGATGAAGGGCAAAAACAGAACCTTGTGTACTTTGGCATCAAATGGAAAATAGTCAATGTGAGTTGTGTCAAAAATAAAGCAGATGGTGCAGTTATAGTACTGTACAGTAAGCAGGAAAGTGGGGATCCAGGAGATTATAGAAGTACATGGGCAAGGTTATATGTAGGTAGTTTAGTGAGAAGAGCTCAGTGCTTATCACTGTTAGAAGTATCTGAATTTTGTGTAATGTACACTGTGGAATAGTATAGTGAAAAAGATTCACCAAATGTTAGTGTACTTTTGTAAGTTTAGAAAATTAAAAAGGTTTTCTGTTGCAGAGTTTATCATACAGAGGAATTCAGGCATGGTATAAGGATTTATTGGCTTTGGATAAAATGAATTAGACATGAAATTTCATCCAGTTTTGAACAGTACTTAAATAGTTTCAGATGTTATGAAAACTTCAACATGAACTTACCAAGAGTATACATTATTTTTTACAGAATATAGAGCCCTGATTCATACTGTATTTATAAGTTATATGTTGAAAAAGAACTTGTTTCCAGAAAAGTGAGCACTTCAGCACAAAATCTAAGCTAAAGAATGGCCCACTGTAAAAATTAGAGTCTAATGATTATTAAATTATATTTTAGGTCCCCAACCACTCAACCAAGATAAAGGTTGGCTGCCTGCGAGTTGGAAACATTCACAACCCTCCACCACCGGCTCACCAGCCCAGACCTCACATAATTCCTCCTCATTACCAGCCAATTCTTCATCAGTTTCATCGTCCAGGACGTGTGAATGTGTATGCATTTGCAGTGCCGGGTCCACCTCCAGCACATCAGCAAGGTCACCATGGTGTAGCCACACCAGCAGTAGCTATGCCAGAAATGAATGGCTACCAACACCATCATCACCACCACCACCACCATCACCACCATCACATCCCCCACCCTCCCAGGTACCCTGAAGGTGTCCACAACCCCCAGCCCCCAGCACAGCCACAGCAAATGAGAGATGATTTATTCCATCAAATAAATGAATTCAATGAAGTCATGCAAGGGGTGAGAATGAGGGATCCTGGTGGGGAGTACCGTAGAGAAGCTCTTCCATGGATGCCGCATCAGCATCAGGTAATTTGTTTGTATTTCCAACATGCTTGTGGGTTTTAGCACAATACACAAACTTTTTGTCCAAAATTTTTTGCTGTCAACTGGTCATGGGCAAGTAATCTATGAAAAATTACCTACTAGAACACCCCTTGGGAGAATCTGTTGTGGGCAGGTGACTTTGCCTATCAGTGCTAAGGTACACTGCTCTTATGGATCAGTGTAATTACTATAGAACAGTTCCTTACCATCAAACCAGACTTCACATTGTCTTTTGCTTTCTTTAAATCTTTTAATAAATGTTTTCTAAAACTTCATCCAACAAAACTATCTGACACTGCCCAATATCCCTTTGCACTACTGTTCAACTTCTGGTTTAGAAGAATACCAACACCTCTCTCATGCTTTTTACCACCTGATTATATGAAGTAAGAATCTTCACCACTAATGCTACAGTATTTGGACTTGTCCATCATACTTCACTTAATCCCAGAATGTCCCACTACAATATTTTCATTTCCCTACAAACATTTGCATACTTACCACCCTCATACAATATCCTCACATTCCGTATTCCAATCTTGATTTTGTGCATATTCATTCATAAAACTTTCCGTAGTTGTGTTTAATGTTGAAAGCTTTGTTTTGTTCAGATAGTACTTGCTAGCTATTGGTGGCACACTGCCTGCAAGCACGGGTAGTAATATGGTTAGACCTTTAGGTGACGATGATCCAACAAGAATGCCCGAAAATCATTTATTGTGTCTGTCCATGGTTGTTCAGGGGCAAGAGATGAAATTAGTAAGACTGGATGCCCCAAACCTTTTCTCATCAGAAGACTAGTTATAGGGAGTAGAACTTGCATATTTAGCGACTATTCACTTTCAACCTCCTCATTTGAGGTTTCAAAATGGGAACATTATGCCCATTCCAGGTTTTGAAAGTGGTTCATTCGAGCCCTCACATCATGACAAGGTAATGCAAATTTGGGAAGTAGATGGAGTTGCATCATAACGTTTATTTGAGGGAGGTCTTTGTGATGTCCTCTTTTTTTAATGTCCTTGATGTTTTCAGGCTAGAAAAGAAAGTATGAAAGAAATTCTTAGTCATATCAATCTTCTGAAGGGATTATGCTCATAAAAGCAGTTATCCCCATCAATGCTTCAGTCATATCAAATGGGATGTGGATAGGGTAAAGGTCTTCACAGAGGTGCTTGTCAAAAAACGTGCATATCCAACTCCAGAGTTGCAATAATACTGTAGTTGATAGATTGTGGGAATGAGTACCTTTCACTCCTTGTTATGTGGGAGTGTCAGAAAATTCCTGTGTTGGCTGGCTAGTAGTATCACAGGAAAGATGATGTCTTCAGGTTCGTATTAAAAGACAGGAGATATGGTGATAATTTATCCTTCCCAAGATGGGTACATCTGGCTCTGCCTCATTAATACATTTGGGTTTGACTCAGAAAATGGAGGTAGTTGTATTTTCTTGTGTAGCTTTGCAGTATTTGCAGTTTTACAGAATTCCCAGCAGAGTTTCTGAGAGGTATCTTCTTACAGTGACACTTTAGCCAGTTGTTTTAGTTTCATGTTTTCTGCAAAAACGTCATTGTTTCGAATTTGAAAAATTCCTATACACTACATTTTACTGTATGGTTTATACCCTGCATGACCTGGAATCTGTAGCCATGATTAGCAATGGATTTTATAATATTTGGATTTAGAAAAACAAGGTTTCTGCTAACACATTTGCAGCTGACAAGTACAGTATGTGTTCACCAGCTCTTTGGAAGAAACTTTTGCTATGAACCTGTTGTCAGGTGTCCAAGATTTCTAAATGTCTTTATTCATGAAGAAGCCTGTATGGTTGTTGTGAGTGCTCTGGTTCTTAGAACCAGTTTCAGGGTTCATATTCTATGAAACCTCTTGTGTTAAAGGAGTTAGAATTGGCTAGCATAAAGACTATTCCTTACTTCCCCTCACTTTGAGGAGAAGGTTTCCATCACTTCATACTCACAGGGGAAACAATATTTTTATCCCCTATGACTCTTATCTTGAGAGGTCTAATCTATAATTCATATATTCATTGTGATTTGAAAAATCTTCAAACTTGTGCAACCAAGTTGTATTCCTTAGGTATGACCATGTGAGCATTGTCTTCTTTAGCTTTCCTGTGAGGTATGTCCTTGCAATCAAGTCCTGCAGAGGGGGGATGGGGTATAGGTTTAGGCTTCCTGGACAAACTCACTTAACTATTGGAATGTGTGGCACTGAGGAGTACCTCCTTTTTGCTACTAGAATTTCAACTTTAAGGAGGGAGGGGAAGTTTTCCCATTACATATGGAGCTGAATTTTTCTCCTTCCTCTCTCTATCTAGCTGGCTGCAGATGCATAATTTACCCTAGCCAGACATTAGTTGAAAAATGAAATATTGACCAAACTTATATTGGGTGGCTCGGGAAATGAAGGTTTGTAGCCGAGTCAGATGAGGGTTGAAGAGCACACATATTGGGAGAAGGTATTGTATGACAGTAAGACTCTCAGCCTTGAGCCCTCATAGTCAGAGCTGTCTTATTTAAATGCTTTGGTATAATGGGAAATTTTAAGATAGTTAATGAATTAGTTGCAGCTCCTGGGTTTTAAAACTATAGACTCAGTTGACAAAACAATACTTGAGTTTTCTATTCAAGGCTTAATAACAAAATGGGATTTCAGGATCAGTCCTGTAGCTGGAATATATGAGCTTTATTTTAACAAATGACTACTCAATTGCATATATAATGATAGTTCAAAGTACCCCCAGGCACTACAGGGTCAGCAGCAACAGCATCCACATCAATTACAACACCAACCTCATCAGCAACAGCCATTATATCAACAGCAGCAGCAGCATCAACAACAACAACAACAACAGCACCAGTTTCAACCAGAAAATCAACTCCGTTTGATGAATGGTGTACCCAACCAAAATCTCCCTCAAATTCATCAACAAGGCCAGCAGCTACAGCAGCAAGTGCAGCAGCCAGCTGTACCTGCACTAAACCAGCAGCCAGCTCTACCTGTACTAAACCAGCAGCCTGCTGTACCTGCACTAAACCAGCAGCCAGCTGTACCTGTACTAAACCAGCAGCCAGCTGTACCTGCACTAAACCAGCAGCCAGCTCTACCTGTACTAAACCAGCAGCCAGCTGTACCTGCACTAAACCAGCAACCAGCTGTACCTGCACTAAACCAGCAGCCAGCTGTACCTGTACTAAACCAGCAGCCAGCTGTACCTGCACTAAACCAGCAACCAGCTGGACCTGCACTAAACCAGCAACCAGCTGTACCTGCACTAAACCAGCAGCCAGCTGTACCTGCACTAAACCAGCAGCCAGATGTACCTGTACTAAGCCAGCAGCCAGCTGAACCTGCACTAAACCAGCAGCCAGCTGTACCTGCCCCTAAACCAGCAACCAGCTGCACCTGCACTAAACCAGCAGCCAGCTGTACCTGCACTAAACCAGCAGCCAGATGCCTGCACTAAACCAGCAGCCAGCTGTACCTGCACTAAACCAGCAGCCAGCTACCTGCCCTAAACCAGCAGCCAGCTGGCCTGCCCTAACCAGCAGCCAGCTGCACCTGCACTAAACCAGCAGCCAGCTGAACCTGCACTAAACCAGCAGCCAGCTGTACCTGCACTAAACCAGCAGCCAGCTGTACCTGCACTAAACCAGCAGCCAGCTGTACCTGCACTAAACCAGCAGCCAGCTGTACCTGCACTAAACCAGCAGCCAGCTGTACCTGTACTAAACCAGCAGCCAGCTGAACCTGCACTAAACCAGCAGCCAGCTCTACCTGTACTAAACCAGCAGCCAGCTGTACCTGCACTAAACCAGCAGCCAGCTGTACCTGCACTAAACCAGCAGCCACCTCAAAGACAGCAAGTACAATCACTTCTCGAAAAATTTCAGGAGCTTTGTGATACACTATGATTTACGGTAAGTGATAGATGTTCTTTAAAGCCAATTATGAAGTAAGCATAATACTGTACACTTCACACTTGTATCCAGTTTTTTATATTATACATAATATAGGAGGTTAGATAATGTGTATATATCAAATGCAACTAATATCACTTGCATGTACAAATTTTACTCATGAACAAAAAGCTATTTCATGTTTTTTTGTCAAACATCTTTATTGACGGTAAGTGAATTTTCAGAATTTTACTGCCTCTGTAAAAACTGTGTGCAGTATGGTTCAATATTTTGTGCTAGAGATGAATTTGAGTCATATAAATATCTAATTTTACTGTGTTTATATTTTAAGATGATAATAGTTTTTGTATGACAGATCTGTGTGCAGTATTTTGTTTTATATACAGTCAGTAATTATTAACCTTAAACCTCAGGCAAACACAGTTGAAGTTTGGTTACAGCAGCAGGAGTAATATAAGAAGTCTATTTGGTCATACGATAGTGTTTAGCGTACGAGTGATGAGAGGGTTGTTGGTCCATATTTTAATGCATCATGTTGTGGTGTGCAGTACAGCATTCCTGGCACTTATATATATATATTTATAACTCCTCAGAAGCTATGGTTATGTGAACACAGTCATGATTATCTTCAATAAATTGAATTTCAATATGTTTAAATCCTGAAAGGGAAGTCAAAGGTATGTAAGGAGTCTTTGAGAAAAATAAAGTCTGGCTGATAATCATCTTCATACATATTTTCACCCGAGAAAACCTCAGAACTTTAGAAATACTATAATTTTATTTTTACAATATGCAGTACCGTACTGTACAGTACTTGCTTTTGTTGCTAACATTTCTCTTTGTCTTATATTGTCTTTGATAAACCAGCTAAAGTATTTGTATTTTAACTTATTTTCTTTATGCGAGCAAAACAGAACTTTATAAGGGAGTAATCTATTTGTCTGTGTCTGTTTCTCTTTGCTCAATGTTTGTACCTAATTCAATTTCAGAGAGACTGCAAGAGTGTTTTACATCACTCTTTGGTGCTCTTGTTAAGAAATGTCTTAGTTTTAGCTTATGTATGAACAAGATATTCCAAACTGTTATATGTTAGACCATAATGATGATTAATGTTCATGACAACACACCTAAATTATTGTCTTCAATGTGGCTCCATGTGAAATTAGAAAGACTTTAAATTGATGCTACTTAACCAAGTACAGTATAATTGATTTACAGTTATTGGTGGAAATTGTTTATACTTAACAATAATTTGTACAGTTTCTTGTCACCTGTCTGCAGAATAGTAAGTTGTACCTCTCTTATATAATTTTAAATTTTAACAGATACTGTTATTAGTAGCTTTAAATTTTTGTTCTTAATTTGTACCTTGTTGAAATTTGAGCCAATACATCTTGTACATGGACAGAGTTAATGCCAGGCAGTATTTGATAATAGGGCTGCAGTAATATCTCAATAACGGAACAATGGGTGCATAGCACTTCTGGTGGAGAGTATTTTCTGGTTAGGCATCTCACTTTACAGGTAATGGTTCCCTAGTGTTGGCCTCTTCCCGGTCTCTGGGACACCTTTACCGGTAAATTTAGTGCCACACCACCGTACCACATCCCCCCAAAAAATTAAATAATGCATTCCCAAATATTATAATACTTCCTCTTTAATTTTTCTTCCTCTTAGTCTTTCTTCATTTACCTCCTAAGATTTTCTTCTTCCTCTTAACCACTTGCATATGGGGCCTCCTGTGAGCTGATTAAAATTATCTGGCATTAGCCAAATACTGTACTGCAGAATATTTAAAAGTGGCATCCTCATAATGAAGAGGTTAAGACTTTCTTTCTCTTCCTCAATAGTCTTCACCTACACAATACATATTGGTAACTGTGTTTTCATCAGCCATACAGTACCTACCTAGTGTCTGTACTGTACACCACAGTGAGCTTACCAGTATGTAAATTAAAATATGTACAGTAATAATTCCTGGAAGCACATTTTATTAAATAACTATTACAGTACAGTAGAATGTCTTCGATATAACACAGATAGGTTCCAAGAGAGGTCGCTTTAAATCGAATTCGCACTAAATCGAAGTGTTGTTTCAATGGAATAATTTAGTTTGGTACTGAGAGAGAAACACAAAATACTAAAAAGATTGAGAGTCTACCCAGATGCACCTCAGCCCATCTCCTAGAATAAACAAAACATTGTTTTTTTTGTAGTATTATGTTAAATCAAACACTCAGAAATCAACACAGCTAAAATTAAGGGAGGTGAAATGGTCTGTTTACTGGCTGGGAAGATGGGGTGAGGGAGGGAGGTGAGGTGATATGTTTGACAATTGATGCCAAGGTCTAGTGCTTGTTTATTTATCTGTCCTTAAGAGTGACTAAGTTTTTCTCTTATAAAATGTCACTGAACTGACATGGGAGACTATAATTAACATTGCTGGAATTCTTATAAGATAGTGATTCATTTGAATATAAACATGCTATAGCTCGCATTAGACAAAAATTTTAGTTCTAATTTAAGAATTTTATTACAAAAAGCAAAAATTTTTATCGTGCAAAATATATGACATTTATATTCAAATTATTTGCTGTCTTGCAAGGGTTCCAGCTATACATATTATATTCTCCTAACTTTAGTCTGTGACATTATGTAAGATAAAACTTTAAGCCTAAAGCACCAAACCCTGGCTGGGAAGATGGGGGGCGGTGGGGGGGTAGGGGGAGGGAGTGACAGTGACATGTTTGACAGTTGGGGCTGAAGGTCTAGTGAAGTATTTATTTGCTTATTTATGTCCTTTAGCTTGAGTTTATGTTTTTTGCTTATAAAATGTCACAGAAGTACCCGGGGAGAATATAATTTACATTGCTGGGATTCTTATAAGATAGTGATTAATTTGAATATAAACATGCTATAGTTTGCACTAGACAAAAATTTTAGTAATCATTTAGTACATTATTTTGAGTACATGTACAGTACAGCTTTGCCCTTAGGACAGTGTAGTGTGCCCAGAAAACATTAGGCACAAAATATTAAATATAATGCGCCAGATTGACTCGTGCAAAATAGGAAAGATTCGCTTTAAATTAAAACATTGTCCTTAGTTGTGGGTGTCGCTTGAAATCAATAATCTAAAACTGAATCGCTTTAAATCGATGTTCTACTGTACTATGTTTTTTAAATTACTACTTTGAATACAAACCTACCAGATATTAAGGTACCATACGTATTTAAATATAAATCTCTAAACTCTATATTGGCTGAGATGCTCAGCCATGCTGAGTCTAGCAAGCTTCAACATGCACCAACTGATACTTCAGCTACCAATATGTAGTGTATGAATTTATATTTTTGTTTGTTTTGAGAATAGTAATTTATAAAATATATTAAGATTTTCAATAAAATATACTTAGAGGAATTATCAGTGTTTCACTGTTCAACACTTACATAAGTTCAGTTCATTGTTTAGCTTCTTACAGTAAACATTGTCAATCACACTGAATCTAGGGGGAGGGCAAGGCAGCCTGTGGCAACCAATCACATCCTCCCTTGGTATGGCTGGCCAATAGGAATGATGTGTGGGTGGAGTGTGTGGTGAGAGGGACACTATCCAAACAACATGTATACACCTGAAGCATGCCATGTGTCGATTCAGAGATGGTACCGGAAAATATATCTCGATACCAAAAAAAGAGAGAGACTTTTGGAAAAATACTGTAACACATTCTCAATTCCAGTTATAAGAGATTTATGGTAACCAGAATTCCATTATTGAGAGATACAGGTATTACGTTCTTTTTTGCAGTTGAATTATGTAATTGTTAGAACGACTGTACCACCGATTTGTTGAACCATTTGAGTAAGGGGGATTAGTCTTCTTGGAAGCTGATTACACTGTGACAGGAAATTTTGAACCTCTCGCTATACAGTAAAAGGTGAAATGACTGACCCTTTAACTATCTCTTATAGAGTCCCAGTAACTGGGAGAGCAGAAAGGTAATTAAAATAACAATACCAGAAGATTGAGACTGGGGAGGAAGAAAGAGGAGAGAGAAGGAGTGTAAAATAGAAGAGATAGGAGGAGTAGAAAAGGAAAAGCTATACAGTACCTATACGTATATAGTATATGCCAAACTTTACAATTTAGTTATAGCTGTACTTTCATATACAGTATGTGACCCTCATATGTTTCTTCAGACCCTCCTCCCCCCTTATGGCTAGTACACTCTTATCTTACAACTTCTGCCTCACAATGGTCATATACTGTACATACAGTACCTTCCTTGAAGGCACTGTATGCATAAAAACCCCTATTTGAGGGCTATTTTGAGGTTATATCATATTTGGGGAGGGGGGCACGTGCCCAGGTGCTACCCCTCCCTGAATCCACCACTGCATTTACTTTTTCAGAGCTTCCTCTTATTAAACCATGTAGTTTTTCTTTGTGCTTGTAGTCCCATGACTGTATTGTATAGTCTTGTTCTTCCTATACTGTATATACAGGTACTAGCCTGTAGCCTTCTTATCTATCCTGTTTCATTTTCTCATATATTTCTTAT